ATGCGGGCGCACGTAGGAATTGGGCATCATTGGGAAGCTTAATGGGTCAAATCTCCCGAATGCCCTTCGCAGCATGCCGGCGTGCTGGTTGCCTTCTTTCGCAGCTACCTCAGCCTGTTTTGAACAGTTGAGGTCGCTCTGTACGATCACTCCAAGGTCACGTTCCTGGGAGCTGGTCTGCAATCCGTTTGTCCCAGGCAAATATGTGTAGTTATGTCTATGACGTAATTGTACCACGCGACATTTGTCTACGGTGAATGGTAGGGCGTTTTGAACTGACGAGTGCGACACTGTGTTAAGATCGCACTAGAGCCGTTCGTGGTCGTCCGGTCCTCTGATCATTCGCCATAACTTGATATCATCAACGAAAAATAAGAAATGGGAAGCAGTTGATCTCGCCAAATCGTTAATGAACACCAAGAATAGACGAGGTCCAAGCACCGAGCCTTGTGGTACACCAAACACTACATCGATTGTATCAGACAATGATTCTCGGACTCTCACCACTAGCCGTCGTTATTGTAGAAAATTGTCAATCCAACTCAGAATTGTGTCGCCAATGCCGTAATTCTGAAGCTTCTAAGGAGAATACGATGGTCTAAGCGATCAAACGCTTCTGAAAAGTCCAGGTAGATGACATCGACTCCTACTCCATCATCAACAGCTTCAGTCCAGCTATTACATGCAATTAATAGGTTAGCATTACACGAATGGTTTTGACGAAAGCCATGTTTCTCTGGAGCTACTAAGTTGTGGCATTCCATCTACTGCATCAGCGCATCTGCGATGATTAATTCCATCACTGGATAGTACGGGAAGTAGTGTTATTGGACGGTAGTTGACAGGATCAATGCGGCGATCTCCTTTATGGATAGGAGTGGTGACCCCTCGCTTCCATACTGGTGGAAAACGGTTCTCCTCTGGACATCGCTGATGGAAAACAGCCAGTGGTTCTGCTAGATCACTAGCTACCGCCTGTAGAGCCTTTGGTCGGATGTTGTCGGCTCCGGGAGAACTGTGGATACGTAAGGATAACAACTTCTTCAACACAGCTTCTGCAGTGAAGGTGATGTTTTCTAAACCAGATAGTGAATTATTAGAAATGAGGAGAATGTTTGTGCTCGTTACCTGCTGGAAAGTTTGGGAGTAATGAAGCCGTAAGAGATCAGCTGCTTCCATTGCTGTTCGCGTGCACTCATCAGCCGCGACTAGCGCTGAAACCCCCCGCTTTACCTTTCGAAGGCCGTTAACGTGCCTGTACAGGAGTTTGCGGTTAGTGCAGAATCGCTTCATTAACTTCTGCTGATGAGTGACCTTGTCTTCGCGGATCAGTTTAACACAGAAGTTACGATGTGTCACGTATGCAGTCCAGGTTTCGGCATTCAAGCAGTCCTGGTGATCCCGCTGCGCCAACTTCCTCCGGGACATACATTTACGCGTTCTGCTCCTCAGAAATGACTTATGCTTGTTTTGGGGTTGGAAGGATTTCTGTTCCGATGCGTGCGCTACCAGTGTGCTAAACGTCCTTGTAAATGTTTCCCAGGCAACATCTGGGGAGCATTCGGTTAAGAAAGTCCAAGATGTATCCTTAACAAGCTTGGACACCACAATGTAGTGTGTGACAGTATGCACTTTATCCTCCTCCTTTTCAGGGTACTCCGCAGAGCATTTATATTCAAAGAGTAGAGTAACATGATCGCTACGACCCAATGGTTTGCTTGTAACTATCCCGTCAACCATGAGTTCTTCGTTAGTTAGCACAAGATCCAGTATCGACGGCTTGTTAGCAGTTCGAAATCTGGTGGGAGAGGTTACGTGGTTGTACAGAGGGTGGCTAGCTATTGGCTCTTGCAAGCAGGCTTTAAACTGCATACCGTCGGTTGCCGGCGTTTCTATGTCGTGCACGTTAAATTCTCCAGCGATAAGAATATGTATGTAGGACTTATTCAAAGCAAACTGAAAGACGTAGTTCAGTTTGGACTCCATTTCCGACGTTGAGTTTGGTGGGCGATAAATCACGGCTAGTAGACATGTGTCCTTGTTTCGTAACCATAGGCGGCACCAAAGCGAATCGGGAGCTCTGATTTCCGGGTGATCGATAACTTCACATCAGAGGTTTGTACTATAGTAAAGAATCACACCGCCACCCCTTCCGATTCTATCGGTCCGAAGCAGCGACATACCGGGTAGATTGATCTCAGAATCGGTTATCTCAGGGTTTAACCATGTCTCTGTAATCATGACGAGGTCCCGCGGTTGTGAGGCATGGAGTTCTCTAAGTTCTGCCAACTTGCTTAGAAGGCCTTGGGCGTTTGTGTACATGCAAGATAGGGCTTTTGTTGTTAGGAGTTCATTGATAGATGTCAAGTTTGTTTTAGTTTTTAAGTCGGCCGTTAGGTGGCCGGCCTTTAATCGTTTTTTGGTTTATGTATTTCAGTCATGTTGAGTGGCATTATTGTGCGTTCTTGAACAGTCGTTTGACTCGTGCTGTGCTCGTGCTGTGCTCACCAACCTCACGAAGTCGGGGTAGACGGATATACCTTTGTGTTAACGTGGATAACATCGTGAGTCCATAGATTTGTTTTTCACTTTTGTATAACTTCATTGAACTAACATTATTCCCGCAAAACCCTCCCACGAGACTTGTCAATCCTTGTCTTTTTTATCCGTATTATACCATTGTTCCATAACTTGACTTACTGTGGATCTATACGAATACCGCGGTGGGTCCACCATTGTGAACTTAAATATGCGGAAATTTTTTGTTTTACTTTGAATTTTCACTGTGATCATGCTGCGGGACCTGCCATGCTACGGCTTTTTTACCCGTATAAAACCATTGTTCTACTGATTGATTCATCGGTCAGTGACAATTGCCTTCGTAGAAATTCGTTGTTCATTTGCAGGTGTATCTTGGTTTACACTGCCGGTGATCGCACCCTTTACAAATTCTTGTTTCTCAGTCTTGCATCTCAATGAAAATCTTATGTATGGGACATTCGGTCCACTAGCCAAACCATTTGTGGTAGTTTTTTTGTTTACCAATATTGTGATGGAATCGGGAGCATGGGCACTCGAAGTCGCCACCTCAGTTTGTGTGTTGTCAAGCTCCAAGTTCACGCAGCTGGTATCTCCATCGATTTTGTCTGCTTCCCGTGCCTTTTTTCCCGAATCTGGATGACACGATGTCTCAACTTTTAGCGTTCGTCGTGCACGTGCAAGAAAAGACCTTTGCAGGATGTTAGATCATGGTTACTCTTTGAACTGATTATGTTGGGCTATGGCGAATCGACACAGCATGAATCTGTCCGCAGATTCCCTACTTGGAAGTTTGAAAATTATCGGGCAGCATTGCTTCAGTGTTTGTTTTCTTAGACCTATGCTTTTGCACTGGACTTCGGACATGTCGAAAGCATTCAGCAATCTTGTTTTGACTTTGTCGCCATTAACCGCATCGGAAATGTTGAGAACTATAGCGATTTTAGGCCTAGGCGTTCGCTCATGGGCTTCAGACGCAATGCAGGCAATAAGTTGTCCAACTATTTTTCATTTGGACAGGATCATGCCTCTCCGATGAGCTGTTGATGTATTCTAAGGCAACTAGGTAGTAGGTAGGATTCTAGGCAGGCGATGAACCGCCGAACTCACAGGGAACTTGAAAGTGAACGCCTAGTACCTTCAGTAAAGCAATTGGACGGTCGAAAATGCAAACAAGAATAGACACAATTGTCGCGAAATAATGATGCTCAAATGTTTCGAGTTCACTACAGGGGTCTTCCTCTAGAGGTCTGATGGAGGTAAGCCTTCGCTAAATGTCAGGTGAGGGGACGATGTGAAGAATGGGGAGTCGAGTACAGATAGAAGGCGCATGCATGTTGAAAGGGAGCTCGTGAAGTTCGCTGGGTTCGATATTCTTTGTTATTTTGGTGTGAATCGGAGTGCATCGTTGGTCTATCGGGGTGGGCTGATCAGACTGTAAGAAAGCTGGATATTACAGAACTAGGGCCGACAGGACATTTCCACCGATGCAGACCCGACGCTACTCTTGCTTGGTGTCACCCCCTACCGCACTACAATTCACGGCCAAGACTGTCCACGACCCAAGAAGTAATCCAGATGTCGTTTTTGTAGAACCGTATCCGAGCACTCGCGGAGCAGGCTAGCTTATCAGTACCAGTAGAATGAGGAACACCTGTTGTTTGGAGCCAAAGTGGTGAGGTCTGAGGCGTCTGACAGATGGGCCAGGTGCCCCGTTGTTTCGGGGGACCTGGGTTCTTTAATATAAAACGGGGAGAGGGTGAGACGTGATCGGGACAGGCGGGATGGTGCCGTATGATAAACAAAGCAAGTATATGGAACAAAATGGGTACAGTTTTTTGGTTTTTAATAGTCTTGGGTATTTGTTGTTTTTTTGCAAAACGTTTGTGACTAAAATACGAGCACCACGAAAGTTGAAAATGTGTATGTCAATGAAAATAGAAAACCTCAACAAAATCTGAAAAACGAATTGGCCGTCTGACATGTCTACCTCTTCATTCAGTTGCCTGACTTTGGGGCTGGGTTGGCGGACGGTCATGGGTAACGGAAGGGTATGGAGTGATAGGTGTGGATGGCGCAGTTGCAGCTGGATGCACCCGGTGAGGCCGGGCGTCGGTCTTCGAAGAAGGCCACCTTGAGACGATCGATGGACACCGTTGTTAGGTGCCCATTCTGGTCTAAAGTAAAGTGCTTCAGAGTTCGTTGAAGAAATTTAAAGGGTCCGGTATAGCGAGGCTGAAGCGAACGGAGCACTGCGTCCGTGCGAACAAAAATGTGCGTGCAGATCAATGGCGTAGCAACTACTTTTGCCCCCCGCGCGGACGTAAAATTGCCGCCCCCTGGCGGTTGTAAATCGTAAACTCTCATAATTGAAGAAAATCCTAAAATACTTCGTTTCATATAAAAACAAGCGATGACCTAATTTTAGAGTGCTGCCGTAAATTCAGGGATTTTTATGGTTACAGTAATCGTGAACAAGATTTACGGATGAAATTTTCGCGTATTAATTGAGGCAGTAGTATTGATAACACTATCCATCGTCAAGTTCCCTGTCTATATTGAGAACTGCCAATCCGTGAGCCTTGTCCGATTCAATGATGATTGAAAGTAGTTTGTTATAAGATTGCGCTTTGAGAATGCGCTCTCACAGTTGGCAAAGGTTAAAACAACCGTAAAATCCAATGTTGCAAAATACTGAAAGAGTGTTTTCAGGTACAAAACAAGGGCCTCCCCTTAAAAGGCTGAAGGCTGAAAGCCTTCGATGGAGCTGTTAGTGGGGGAAAACGGAAGGTGGGGTGGATGCGAATAGTTGCATGGGCTTGAGCAAGCACTTCCAAGATGGGGTGTGTAGCAGAGTTCGCTGGGTCCAGGCTTTATTAGTAATTATTTGTTGCTTGTGTTGACCAGAATGCATCATCGGTGGACCGCCGAGGCGAGCTGGTAGGACTGCAAAAATAGTGTCTAGTCCAGAAAATGGCTGACAGGACATTCCTTCCGCTGCAGATCCGACTGTGCGCTTAAAAGGTTTTACTCCCCCCCCCCTCCACCGCACTCCAGTCCACGGTCCTCGTCCCACGTAGAAATCCAGGCGTTTTCGTCCGACGAAGTAACCCAGCGTCGTCGTCGGCAACGCCTATCCAGGCGTTTGGGAACCAAGCCCTTGGTGGCTGTCTGCGGCCGAGGGCGACTGGCTGTTCTTTGGGTCTGGAAGAGGGTCTTTGGTCGGCTGGCGAGTCACTCGGGGGTTACGTTGGCAGTTCCGGCGGTTGAGTTCTGGAAGGTAGAACTCAGGAGGTGGGCAAAGGTCGGTGGAACTGTCATGACGCCGGAGAGCGTACATGGCATACATGATAAAAGCAAATAAGTTTTATATGTTTTCAAAATGTTTTGGTTTTTCTTGTCGATTTTGTAAAACTTTTGTGAATAAGACACACGATTAGTACTAAAGACCAAACATGCGCGTTAATGGAAATAGCAAACGTTTACAAAATCTGGAAAACGGACCGGACGTTTGACCTGTCTACCGCGTCGGTCGGTTGCTTAGGGTTGAGGCATAGTAGGTTGAGGGTCAAGTGAAAAAGAGGGTTTCGGAATATACAGTGATCGGGAAGTCACCGCAGGTGCAAGTGCTCGTATAATAGCATCAGGATGGGTTGCAAGTGGTTCGTCAAAGGAAGCCACTTTGAGGCGGTCGATGGACACCGTTGTTCGGTGAACATTCTGGTTTGCAGTGAAATGTTTCGGAGTCCGTTGCAGGATTCTGAAAGGGCCAGTGTAGGGAGGCTGGAGAGGGCGCCGTACTGCGTCGGTGCGGATGAAGACTTGAGTGCAGCTAGAGAGTCCGCTGTGCATTTGCACACCTCTAGTCTGATCACGGGGCGGAGTCGGGCTTAGTGAACGCATGCTTTGAGCTAGGGAGGACACAAAGTTAGGCGGAGGCATACCCGACGATGCGGGAAGTTAAACTAATTCTCCTAGCAACTTTAGCGTTGTGCCGTAAACTAACTCTGCTGGTGCACATTGCAAGTCAGCTTTGATGCTGCCGCAAATGCTTAAGAGTACGAGCGAAACGTTTTCGCTCAAGTTAGGGTCGGAAGAGGCACAGAACGAGGCTTTAAGCCATTTATGGAAGCGTTCAACCAACCCGTTGGCTGTTGAGTGATACGCTGTGGTCTGAATGCGGCGACAGCCTAAAAGTTGCATAACGTATCGAATTGTGAAGATTCGAAAGGCGTTCCTCGTCAGTTGTGATGATGGATGGGTATCCGTGGTACGAGACCCACCGGTCCAAAAAGGCCTGGATAACAGTCTCAGCTGTGCAGTCTGTTGTGGGAATGGCTTCTGGCCATCTAGTGATGCGGTCGACACATGTAATCATGTATACGAATCCGCGTAAAGGAAGCAAGAGACCTACCAGGTCTATGTGTACATGCGAGAACCCGGAGTCC